TAGGAAGGAAGATAGAAAGGCCTTAAAATGGACCAGAAAAGGACAAAATGGCGCCTGGACGTTTACGCATGAGTGATTTCAGAAAACGAAAAAGTAGGTGACCTGGATGAGATGCTAGAGATGATGCCTACGAAATTTGAAAGGAAATGGACATGATGAAGGCACCTAACTAGGAATAACAAACACTATGTGCAAAACGAATGTGATTTCCGGACGATAAGGAAAACAAGGAGGAGAATATTAATGGGGCAGAATGTGAACGAAAACAAGGCAATGACGAAGGTTCGTCATTGCAAAAAGAGCTAGGAACATCCTTGATGCTTTTATCACTGACAATGAGTTTTCCTGTCTATCTAAGATCTTGGGCGTTCAGGATGATTACACCTTTCAAAGTGACGATGGCACTAAGCAGTCCAACATAGACACATTCTTGACCCATGTCCTGATGGCTGGTGACTTCTCCAACCTTGAGATCCTCTACAATGAGCCACTGAATCAATCAGATCACTTTCCCATCATGGTCACCTGGAATCTCCCACCTCCATGTGCTGCCCAGGAAAGGACCAACCACACAATGCTGAGCCAACCACTGTGTCGTCCAAGAGTCAAGTGGAAGGAGGTGTCCAAGCAGGTGATCAGAGAACGCTACACTGAACCTCTTGAGAAAGCCTCCGAATCAATCCTGGCCACCCTTGCTGGTGTAATGCCTGATGAGAATCTCTTGGACTCAGTCACAACCAGCTTACAGTCAATTCTTGTTGAAACTTCGATGAGCCTACCATACTCAAAAGGGAAAAGCAGAGGCAAGGGTAAGGCTGAGTGGAATCCAGAGGTGGATGAGTGTTATCAGAGGTACCTTAACGTGTGGAAGAACTGGAGAGAGACAGAAGACAAGAGCAGTCAAACAGGGATGTTAGCTGCCAAGCTAAAGAAAGCTTTCCGTGCCAAGCTGCGGCAGTCAAAAGCCGCCTGCAGAAACGGACTTCTCTCAAGGATTGAGGAGGCCCATGAGCACAGTGACAGGCTGTTCTACACGCTGGTGAAAGGCAGAGGACCCAAAACAGATGTGCAGCAGCTTAACCTTGGAGGTCAATGCTTCTCAGGATCGGATATCATCCAGGGCTGGACTCAACATTTCCAAGATCTTTCCACACCCACTGACTACAGGGCAGCACAAGCTCCCAATCCAACACACCCTGAAAGTCAACTCTCCCATGGGTTAGAACACCTCTTCACATCAAAGGAGCTGTGCACTGCCATCTCTTCCTTAAAACCTGGCAAAGCGAGTGGACCTGACAACATCTCTCCTGAACACCTACTGTACGCTGGTCGCAATACCAGGATTCTCATCCTTGTCTTGATGAATTTGATGGTTCATTTGAAGCATATTCCTCCTAGTGGTCTTGTGATCCCTCTTCACAAAGGCGGGGACAAGGATCCATCTGTCCCAGGAAACTATAGGGGCATCACACTCACCCCTGTCCTGAGCAAGTTGCTGGAGCTGCTGATCAAACCTAAACTCACCCAGCACCTACAAGAGCACCAAATACCAGACCCACTCCAATTTGGCTTCCAGCAGGGAAGATCCTGTACTCTAACAGGAAAAGCCTTGGACCTTGTCATTGAAATCTACAAGCTCTCTAACCAACCACTATACCTTGCCATGCTGGATGCTCAAAAAGCATTTGACAGGGTTTGGCAGGAAGGTCTCCTGGCAAAGATAGCAGCAACACACCCGTCCCCAGCTCTGCTGCATACCATTGCAGAATTTTACAACAGCTGCTCAAGCAAGGTGTTTTGGGACCATTCTGTAGGACCCTCTTTTCGTGTGCTGCAAGGAGTGAGGCAAGGAGGTGTTTTATCTCCCACGCTCTACACACTCTACATTGATGACCTCATCAAGCTCCTGAGAGAATGCTATCTAGGTTGCACAATCAGGAACCTCTACGTAGGTGTCATAGCATTTGCTGATGATATTGCTCTTCTTAGTAACGACCCAACAGAGCTCCAACAAATGCTTAACATCACATTCCAGTACACCCAAGAATGGAGGTACAAGATTAACCCCACTAAGAGTGCCGTCATCGTGCTGAACCAACATCGTACAATCAGCGGACATTCCTGGCATATCGATGGCGAGCCAATAGATGAGGTATCCTCCTACAAGCACCTTGGTATAACCAGGACATGTGACCCTCAACATGATTATGCAGCAGATACGATCACCAAAGGTTACAGAGCCTTTTATGCCTTAGTTTGAACCTCTCCACTCGGAGCAAGGGTCGTACCTCACATCGCGGCAAAGCTCTGGACAACATTCTGTGTGCCACGGATGCTGTATGGCTGCTCCAGCGTGCCTTTCTCCAAAGCAATGTTGAATCGCCTAGATAAAGCACAGATCCACCTGTTCAAACGGATATTGGGGCTTCCAGCAACATCAGCTGATGAAGCCGTCTATCTGCTCACTGATACCTTCCCTATTAGTCTGCTGATCTTACAAGATAAGCTTCTTCTCCTAGGGCAGATCTTGAACATTGACTCTGATAGGATCGAACACAGGATGCTCCTTCATGGTATCTGCTCCAACACCTCTTCCATCCAGCAATGGCGCTCTGCTCTCAAGCAGCTCAGTCTTCCCACTCTAGACGAGCTTGTAATGAGACCCCCCAACTACCACCTATGGAAGCGCATGGTACGGTTAGCAGTGATGCAAGCTTCTGAGACCAGACAATTTGTTGCCCTCATTGAAAAGACTTCTTTATCCCTGTGGACCAGAAGACCTAAACCTAAGGCCAAGGATCTGTATCCTGGGCATATCGCCAACCCAAGCTTGAGGTCAGCTATCACCATTCGAGCCCAGATCTCCTGCAAAGTCTACCTGACCCAAGTCAGGCTTGTCAGGATCGGGAAGGCAACTGATGACTGCTGCCGTCTGTGTCGGGTAGAGCGAGAGGATGTTGAGCACCTTGTTGCAACTTGCCCAGCCCTATCATCTGTGCGTCAAGACCTTATTAATCGTATTAAGGATAACCTCAACACAAAGCAGTTTGCTCAATATTTCGAGTCTGCGCCTGCGCTGTTCTTGGAGTCAGTGCTATTTCTCCCTGCTGGGCACATCAGCAGTAGTGCCAAAACACAGCTGCATACCCTTATCCTTTATTTTATACGCAACCTTCACACAACCCGTCAAAATCTACTTAACGACCTATAGAAAGCCATTTATGTAACTTCGGCAGACTCACAGTGCCGACGATCTCCGACCTGAGCGGAGGAAGGATACAAGAGAGAGAGGTAATAATAAAAACAAATAACAGCATCAAAAACAAAATAGATAAATACATAAGCATATAAACAGGTAAAATACAAATTAATTTGTATCCCCTTGAAATAACTGATCATTCAATTTCAAGAATCAGCCTTGATAATTGACAAGAAACAGGTGAATGGAATTTTCAAATTAAATAAAATTTAAAAAAACGTTCATTTAATAATCTGATATAGCTTTAACGCACGGGATACCAAAATTATACATATTTACATTCAATTGCTCTTTAACTAATACACTTAGGTTGTTAACAAGATAGCTGATAATGGATTCATTACATGTATGAATGATATAACGATAACCATGTCAGCCAAATTTCATCTTCTTCTTCCTTTTAGGAAGGATTAAGATTAAAGACCGTCCATACTACTGGGCCAGAGGGGATTAGACCACACAGCGAGGTCACTGACAGGTAGCGAGGTCACTGCAGCAGGGATGCCAACCTTTCAGAGCACAAATCCGTAATCATAAGGCTAAAAATCCGTAATTTGGAGACAAAATCCGTAATTTTCTGCGCGACGCAAATTTTTCTGCACGCTGGCAAGCGCAGCTCCCGCAGGCAAGCGCGATAGCACAACAAGTTAAATAAAAGTAACATACCTGTTCATTAGTTGGTGTTACACGATGCATTTCCATTTCTTACTGTATTCTTCTTTAAAAGTCTGTAACTTCTTGCCACGCTTCTTAGTTGTGGAAGACATGATGATTGATATCTAAATCCAACCAACATGAGTTCAGATTGTCGACGAAAATCGACGAACGCTGTGACAGCCTGTGAGAAATCCGACAGTGTACACGGCGCTAGCGTAGCGAGGCCTGGCGCTGGGCGGGCGGTAGCGGCGCGGCCAAGAGAGGTATTTCACCCGGCCCCCGCTCGCGAAGCACATGTTGTATGCACATGTATGCACTGAAAGGGGTGTGCTAGATAACAAATTTTCCAATCGGAAGCCCTGTGGGATTTCTATGCATGGATTCAAGGATGGCTGCGCTGCAATAGTCAAAAGTACGTGCTAAACCTTAAACGTGCTAAACCTTAAAGTGCTAATTTTGAAAATCGGCAAAATCTGCAAAATCCGGAATTTATGGTATGAAAATCGTACCGCCCGTAATCGGCCGATTTCCCGTAGAAATTACGGGAAATCCGTACTAGTTGGCATCTCTGCTGCAGCTCTCAACTAACATAAGATAAAGGGGGACCAACAGGCAACAGGCACCGATTGGGGAAGTTGTCGATAAAGAGGGAGCAAGTACTAAGTAGATTCTAGCTGCAAGCCCGGCCCCATTCCGAGAACGGACGGACCCCATGCGTGTTACCAAAATGTCCTTTTCGTAACAAAAGAAAAAGGTCGACCCGTATTGACTTTACACACCGGACTTTTGCTGAAAAAGGCTTGTATAACAAAAGAAAAAGGTCGACCCGTATTGACTTTACACACTGGACTTTTGCTGAAAAGGGGGGGGGGTCGCTTGGAACACGCATATGCGTACCCTAAATAACACTAATAATAATAATAATACAAGTAGGACAGTGGGGCTTAAAGTTTAAGACAAGAGCATGAAGAGACGAGAACCGTGCAACGAATCGTCTTCTTCCTCTATAATTTAAGGAAACGCCGTCAAAGCTTCCGCGGAAGGGGCGAACCGAATGCAGACATGGATAAATAATTTAACTCACATTTGAAGAAGATGATCAGCAAAGTCAGTGTGGGTCAACTTCATCTCGTGTTGTGCCGTGCGCCACTTGTTGAACGTCTCAGTCCGGACCTTGAAAGAACGCCACCCGGGGCCACCCTCCGGTGACATACTGTTCCTCAGATACCTAGCTTGTGATGCTACCGCGCGAGCCTTCCTCGTCGCTGGGGAAGCAGGCCTCCGTCCCGGTTTCTTCCTTTCCATGTTTATATCGAAAAATATTAGCAAAGCCAGTCGTTCATAAACGTTAAAATGTCACTCCCTAAATAAATCGAGAAAGTATAATTATGGGATCATCATCCTGCTTTGTCCGAGTAAAATCCAGAACCAGAAAGTAGAACCCGAGCAACGACGATATATAGTGAACATCAACAGCTGATGAAGGCGAACGATCCAACCGTATCGTACCGTACAGCTTTACATGTGTACTGAAATATCGTGGATCCCTGCGCATTTAGCGGCCACGAGAGGGAGGCAGACCGGTAAATTGCTAACCGTCGCTATATCTATCAGGGGGCCGTTTCTCGAAACCGTCATAACTACAAGATCAACGACATCTCGCCACTGTCACGCAACTTGTCAGCTAAGTGTTTCACGAAGCCGTCTTTGCCAAGATGAGCGACAACTTCCGCGACAAGCGAGTTGTCACTGCTCCGAACCTGTCATATCTTTTTAATTGCTGTAAAGCGCCATCACAAGTCAGTTCGTTGCCATTCCATGGGCCGCGAAATGGACGATTAGTTTCACTATCATTTTGAGAAAAATATAGACGAGTTCGGTACGTAATTCTCTGGGATGCGAAATGCAAATGTACAAAAGTGAGAATACAAATTATACAGAAACTTTAAAAAGCTGAATATAAACATTAAATCACAAATCATTAAACTATAACATATAAATAAGAGAGGTAAGAATGTTACACACCGTTTTCCATAGTCGATCCATAGTCTTTTCTTAGGATACCGTCATACCTTTGGGGCCTATGTGCATTATTATTCCCTCTCTAATTACTTCTTCCAAATTATATTTTCAATATCAAATCAATTATATAACGAGTATTTATGAGACTCTAGAATAAAAACTGGCTGAGAAAAGACATTTTGCCTAAAATTCCTCGTCACAATAAACAAAAAAGTACGTATTGATAAACTATCACATTACGGTATCCTTCAACTAACTTTTGATTCGACTGTCGAAAAAAAAAAACACTCACCGGTTTTTCTTCAATTTAAGAATCTTTACAGAAATATGCAAATCGTTTGATGATGTAAATATGATAATGACACTATTTATTATTTATTTTAGGAGAATTTATATGTATATATTTCTTTTTGAACAATTTTAGCCCCAAAACTTGTTTTGGGTTATTCTTGGTAAATCAAATGGATCGTGACAAAGACTATGTTCTTGAGCTGCTAGTATCGCGATATATCGATATCATGTCTGTCATGGCTTTGTGAAACGGTTTATCCGCTTCATGACATCTCCGTAGGTCGCCGACAAAGATATGACTGTCATGGAGTTGGTTTCGAGAAACGGCCCCCTGGTCCAAATAGATATAATAATTTACCAAATATATCATTTAGTAGGCGGTTTCCCTGCAAATATGTTATCCTCACGTATTAGTCAAAACATATAATATTCTTTCACATGATTGTGTAAACTATATATTTAACCTCTTGCCAATCAATCATAACACCTATCATACACACCACTGCCAAACTCACTCAGATCCTCTCTCCTAAGTCTCCAACTTATATTCGGGAGTTTACAGATAGCACATGGTACAAATGACCCCAAAGATCCACAGATCTTTTACACATGGAGAAGTTCCACTTTGAGCATCTTTGAATAATAACTGCCAAAGTCCTAGATGTGCTTCATGCATGAAGACCTCTTGTTTGCCCTCTTGAAAAGAATACCACCTGCGTATCATAGAATGTACCGTTGCTGCATAAATGAATAATGTTACATACCTTTCATGAGCGCATATCCAGTATTCATCTCTGTGGGTTTTACCTTTTTGGTACAAATGACCTTTATCTGCCCATGCGCAGATTGTATCTGTAAACTCCCTTATAATCGAGCCCTTACTCAACACAACTCACTCAGAGTAAGTCCAGTGCCAGTCTGCATGTGTTTTATTCCAAAGTATCTAGCATGTGCTTCATGCAAAGTATATTCAAATCAAATACATCATCAACCAATAGCAAAACAGGATTTAAATACAAAACTGAATATTCATACGGAAAAGGAGAAGAGAACCAATGATAAGTAAGAAGTGGAAAGATGCAAATGAGAAGAGAACATACCACCTGTTCTAGCTTTAAGAGTTGGTATGTGGTGGAGATGAATGGTGGAGATGAATGGATAAAATGAATATGCAAATGATGTGAAATGAATATGTATAGGTTAGAAGAGACTAGAGAAACAAATAGTAATTGTGACAAATAAAGGTAGGGAATGAGTCTCATTTTAACTCTTACATAAACTTCCCTTTCAACTAAAAAAAATGTCCTCAAAGAGCTTCCATGTTATTTTTTTTAATGGGGGCCGCGTTTCCAATTCTAGTCTTTACCTTTAACACTAAAGTCTAAACAGCATTTATCCCCGTATCTATTTTTTTATAATGGAATCCGGTACCTTGAATTTCGCTAATAACATGTACATTCTAATTTAAAAAGACTAAATTAATGCCAGTGCCTGGTTTTATAGAAGATTAACTTAGTGTGGAAGTTAACCAATGGCAATTTCGATTTTTAAAGAGGAGGCGAAAGGGGGGGGGGCACAACCCTTTTGTCCCCTTTTTGTCTCGAAACCTAGCAGGAGGCGGTGGCGACGGCATCAACATCAAAATCTTAATTAACCTAAGCCCGAAAGCGTAACAAAAACAGATGTTGTGTTGCCCTTTGCGACCGACCCCAAAATTGTAAAATCTACGGTCGGCTTTTTAATTTTAAACAATTACAGTTTTTTAGAAGAAAAAACGTTTAATGAATGAAAAAAATATGTATTTTGTTTGTTTAATATAAATGAATGATATCATATTATCATCAGACTATTACCAAATTCTCACTCGTCTTCGAAATCCAGCTAGCTTAAACAAGTTAACCACGGCCTCGGGTACGTGTATATACCATGCACTGCACCCAGGGGCGTCTCCAAGGGGGGGGGGGGTCGTGGGGGTGCGACACCCCCTCCCCCCACCTGTCAGGATATTGTCGGTAAATTTGCGCTGCCGTCGGGAAAAAGAGAAAAGGGGGAGGGAAAAAAGAGAGGGGAAGGAAAAGAAAAGAAAGGAAAAGAAAGGAAAGAAAAGAGAAGGAAGAAAGAGAAGAAAAAAAGAGGGAGGAGAGGAAAGAAAGGAAAAGAAAGAAAATAAAAAAAGAAGAAAAAAGAGAAAAGGGAAACAAAAGAAACGGGGGATGAAAGATGGGAGAGAGAGGAGGTAAGAGCCCCAGAGAGGAGGAGTGGGAGTAAAAGAGAGAGGGGGGTTGTTGGGTGTCGTCTCGTCGAGGGAGCAAGAAAGACACGGGTAAATATGTTGCTGTGTCGGGTCAGCTGTGTCGGTATTCTTGCTCGATCCTCGTGTACTATATCAATGCAGATGTTTGAAGTCGGTGAGATGTATATTGTCGGTCGGACGACAAGTTTTTTTCCATACGAACTGTGATTTTTTATCCGCTGTGACGACTTCGAGAGTGACTACAACTACAATACTTGTATTTTCTCGAGTTTCACTTTCCTATATTAGGGACTTTTAAATTGTTATTTTTTTTAAATTAAGAAAACGTCTCAGCTTCCGCGATTCACGCGGGAGGGGGTAAACTGAATTCAGAAAAGGATTAAGAGTCGAGAACAGTACAACGAATCGTTTGCTTTCTCTCATAATTTAATGAAACGTCAAAACTTCTGCGCTTCGCGCGGGTGGGGGAAACTGAATTCAGATAAGGATTAAGAGTCAAGGACGGTTCAACGAATCGTCTACTTTCTCTGATAATTTAATGAAACGTCAAAACTTCGGCGCTTCGCGCGGGAGGGGGAAAACTGAATTCAGATAAGGATCAAGAGTCGAGCACGGTTCAACGAATCGTTTATTTTCTCTAATAATTGAATGAAACGTCAAAACTTCCGCGCTTCGCGCCGGAGGGGGAAGAATGAATTCAGATAAGGATAAAGAGTCGAGAACAGTACACCGAATCGTCTGATTTTTCTCATAATTTAATGAAACGTCAAAGCTTTCGTGCTTCGCGCGGGAGGGGGGGGGGAACTTCATTCAGACAAGGATCAGTCGAGAACGGTACAATAAATCGTCTTCTTTTCCTAATAATTTAAGGAAACGTCTAAGCTTCCTATCACCCACAACGCGCTCTTTAAGTGATTCGCTTGCTCACTACCGCCCCTCCCTAAAATAAGATCCTATAGCTCCGCGCCTGCATTAAAATATATATTGCTATGATGCTGACTAATTTGACGAAATAATTCGTATATTTATGTCGTCGAGGAAAATGACCATTTGCGCATACGCAAGTACTTTAGATAGTCCATAGGAAAAACAATTTAGCCTTCGGCCCCGGGTTTATAGGGTTAAATTTGTAGATATTGGGACATTTAATTTTGTCGGTAATCGTTGGCCTCTACACCCCCCCCCCCCCCCCCCCCCCAACTGAAAAAGTCTAGCGATCGACGCCCCTGGGCCCCGGGCGACGTTCCCGGTTTTTAGTTATTTGAGCTACGGCCGCTGTTTTGAGGGGATTTTTTTTTTAAGCTGACCAACCGACCCAGGCTCTCGCATCTAAAGGGCCTAAGGTGTAGTTTTTGAATTGTTAATGTAATTTTGAAAGTATAACTACTTATTCAATGAAACTTGGACCAAAGGGTTATCATGATGTATCCTCAATCAATATTGAGAAGAGTTTCAGGTCACTAAGTAAAGGTCAAGGGTCATTTCAGGTCAACCAACTTAGACTATGTTGTGGCATCAACATAAAAAAAAATTGACCAAAGGTTAAGATTTCAAATTTGTATCATAATTTTGAAAGAATATATTTCTATTCCATGAAACTTGAACATCAGGGTTATCAAGTATCAATCACGTGATTAGCCTTTTAGGTAACAAAGTCAAGGTCTAATGGCATTTCAGGTCTGTAAACTTGGACTTTGTTGTGGCATCATCATCAAGAGTTTTAATTTTAGCATAATTTTAAAAGTGTTTGTTCAAATCAGATGAAACTTGTACCCAAGGGTTTTCAAGTAGGCCTATCACAAGTCATATGACAAAAATTCCAGGTCACAAAGTCAAGGTCATTTTAGGTCAGTACTTGGATTATGTTTTCACAACTTGAGAATTAATAAATCTATTTTTGTTATTTGTTCATATTTCATGAAAGTTATCAATCCTAGCTGGTACAAATAATAGTAAATAACTTTTTCTGATAATTCCTAGTCAATATTCACTTTCAAGTTCAAGTTATCGATCTTGGTACAAATAATAATAAATAATTCTTCTGATTCACTTCAAAATGCTGATTTTATTCAGAGGACTTCGTTTTGGGGGCCTCAATAGGCCATGCTGCCTTTAAATAATGTCCTAACCTCAATTAATTATCATATCAAAAATATGTGATGATGCTTGTGGTTATGATGATGTAGGCACTGCAATGATAATGCTGTATGACCGAGAAGTGAAGGGGCTGATGCAGTCTTGTGTAGAATGGAGTAATTGGTGTTCGGCCTTGTGATTTTGTTGGCCCTCTGGAAAAGAATACTTGCACCTGTGTATCATAAAATGTATCGTCTGTACATAAATGAATGATTCATAATGTCATGTAGCCAGAATTCAATCTAGTAAAGATTTTAAAATTGAATTTTTAAACAATTTTGTCATAGTGATTGGTACAGGATTGAAGCTCAGAATTCATCTAGCTTTGGAAATTAAAGAGCCATGGTCGCAGGATAAAGTGACCTATGCCCGGCTTTATACAAACAGTTCACATTGTAAGACAAAATGACAACGTTTACTATGATTGTATTTCTCTTCCTTTTAATTATGTTTACAAGTAAAAATACATTTGTAAAACAGTGAACAGCATTTTCAATCAATTTTAGCACATGATAGAGCTGCCTACTATGGATAATACTTCATACTGATTCAGTCTATACTCTGCATGTTCAATGTTATGGGGTTAAACCTAAATCCTAAGCTATCTTTGATGATAAAAATAATGGATCAATACCGGTACATGTATGTTGCTACATCTATGGCAAGAATTGCAAATGAATAATAATTTGAGGATCTCCATGTATAACTTGTATAAATACTGTACATCATGTATAATTTGTAATATAAAACATAAAACTAAAACTGAAACTGAAACTAATCAGAAAATTGCTTAAAGCGTACCAGTCACCTGGAAAATAGTTAAGCTTAGAATGTCAAAAAAAAAACTCACCTCGCATATCATATAGTGGTTAAAGAGAATTTAAAACAAATTAAGGAAAACATAAAATCATGAACAAGTCCAACTTGGGTTCCTTTGCCAGCACATACCGGTAGGCATGCATCGACCAGTCTACTCAACAAGTCATTTTATGTTTTTGAGAGTGAACCGGCACTCAAACTGCTACAGCTTTATAGATGTAATAATCTAAGCTCACATTTCTGAAGATAGTATAGTGACATGGAACCCCTCAAATCAGTTAGTGATTGGTATACTATAAAGCAAATATAGTGAACAGTATAGGTAGTAGCATGATCAATATAATCACAGGGCTCAAAATTAGTGGTTGCCCAGGTGCCTTTAATAATATTCCGCTTGTATGTCTCTAAGCGCTTCACAGATATACCTAAAAGTCCCAGGAATATTAACCAACACTTAAAAAATAGCATTACTTCACAAATGCCAAGACACATCCACAAAATACTTTGGCTTGAAGAAAAAGAAATGACTCACAGGCGTCAGAGCGTGCTTACATGTACAATGAATCCTACTTTGTCACCGAACACGATGACCAGCTGACAATGTACATGCCACTAGTAGGTCATTATTTGTTGGAGATAATTTGCTTTGTATCTTTTGTAATATGTCTTATCTATATCAATTGCAGACAGCAGTGTTGTAAACAGCTCTCTTCAGCATCGCAATATTTACACTCAACCTTGAAGATTAACGCATTCAAAAAATCTCTTTAAACCTATTCACTGTGACCACTTCAACTGCCATTTGGCAACCTAAAATGCTGCATAGGATGCCCGACTGGCAACCAAGAAAAAAAAGTTAAGTGAGAGCCCTGAATCAATGAATAAAAAGTACATTGTGATACTAGTCTGAAAATACTTTACTTCACATAATAACCCTTCACTTTGTAAAATAAACATCATTTCATCCATGCAACATCATCTTGTTGAAGGAAACTGCAACAGCTTTATACATGTAGATGAAATATTCCAGCCTAATAATTTTGAAGACAGTATATCGACATGGAACCACTCACATTAAGAGCATATATTTATTCTCATAATTATTCTCATTTCATTGGTGGTAGCATGATAAATATAATCAATGTATAAAAAGTACATTTTTTACACATTCTTTTTATAAAGATTCAGAGAAAAGGGAATTTTGTCAAGAGGAAGTTTCCAGGCGTAATTCCAGCTTACCATTAGCTTAATCATTAGTTTGCTTTATTCAGCGCCATCACTTTTATTTCTCTCTGGATCTTCCTTTTCCAATGATTCTCTCTCTTTCCACCAGTCAATTCCATGCAGTTTCTTTTTGTGGTTCTTTAAGCTGACCTTATTGGTAAACGCCATCTCACACAACTCACAAACGTATGGCTTATCTCCTGTATGCTGGCGCATATGTATCTTGAGATTACTACTCTGCGTGAATGACCTGTCGCACAACGAGCATGAATAAGGCTTCAATCCACTGTGGATTACTAAATGTCGCTTGAGATGTTCCCGACTTTTCAAGACCTTGCCACAGGTCGAGCACTGCGCACTCCTAGTTTTATGGACATTAGAAATGTGACCCTTGAGGTGTTCCTGGTGCTTAAACCTTGAGGGGCACTGTGGACATTGGACGTAATCGCTTTCCTTGATCTCTAGGTGTGAGATTTCATGGTATTTGATATACGAACTTTTGAACATTTTACCGCACTGCTGACATAGTACATCACAGTTCTTGTTGTGAAGTCTGTTACAGTGTTCTCTACAGCGCAAGAGGAGTTTTTTGCACTCCCCACACCATCCCATCTCAGAAGTGTACCCCTTTTCAAATTTGCTTTTAATTGATTGGACAGCATCCTTGATCGCTTCTGGACCCTTATCAATTGGGATGTGTTTTTGTAAATGGCGCATAACTTCCAGTTTATCTTTCCAGGCCTCAGAGCAGATTGGGCATGCTTCTGGGAACTTAAAGACTTGCTGGCGATTTTTGCGCTGGCATTTTTTTCTTTTATTAGTAGGTTCACCTTTAAAGTCTTCATCGCTATCTCCTCCATATTCAAAGCTGTCATCACTCTCAAGGCTGTCCTGGTCACCAAGACACCTACATCAAATAGAAAAGAAACATAAACAAGCATTAGAGGTATCGCAGTCTTAAGTGATGCTACATGTAGTGTACAATGTTCAGATGTAAAGTGTTGAAGGGTGCTTCTGTGCAATTTGTTCCAAACGAAAAATGCATTTTATTGTTTTTTTTCATCTACAGATGAAAAATATCTTAATATGGCCATCATGTTTTGATAGTAATCCCGGAAGGTTTTGATTAAATTGGTTTAACAAATCCGAGCCAAGCAAGCAAGTCATGGGAAGACGGCACCTCATCTCCCTAAATTTTAAACCGGATTCACATCGATCTCAGGGAATAACCATTTTTTGGAAGAAAAAAAAAATCATCATTAAAAAGAATATATTAAACAAAATCTGCAACAAAAAATAAATTAAAAAAAACTAAAAAATTCGAGAGAAAAAAAAATTGAGTGATTAAACACCCCCCAGGACTGGCGCAGAGTGTCCACTCTCTTTCCTTTTTAGCTCTGAGTGTACATGTAAATGTATATACAGGACACATTACACAGAAGGGGATTGGTAACTATGTACATGTATATATACAGGACACATTACACAGAAGGGGATTGGTAACTATGTACATGTATGTACAGTCAAACCTGCTTTAGTGAACACCTGTCTACAACAAGCACATTTTTTGTTTCCCTTGAAAATGGTGTCTCATTGAAACATGTACTAAAGGGAACCTGTCTAAAAAGACCACTTTTTGTGTTTCCCTTGGGCGGTCGCTGTAGACAGGTTTGACTGTACCTTGAGCTCATGTACTGACAAGCCTGTATGATTATAGCCTTCTCTATAAGGTCTGACTGCAAGAAGTTGTCTCAGGATCTCCCTTCTTTCATCTTCCCTTGTATCATTTTTTGCTTTATCCTTCTATCATTTTCTCATGTTCTTTTTTTTTCTCCTCCTAATTTTCATCTTTTCTTCCATCATGTTTTTCTTTGTTTTTTCTCCTGTTCTATTATGATTTTGGCACCAGCACAAGACACATGCTCATACTATAGGTGCTCCATGGTCATTATCCAAGTGTAGTTGTTGGTTGTTGCCAGGTATGGCAAACATTATGGCTTGCCCTACCTAACAACATGTTCTGATTTCAAATTTCACAGATAGGAAATACATGACATATTCATAATTCCTGCAAAGTTCTGCAGAATTTGATGTTGGCTGCAAAAGGGACATAGTATCTTTAACAGAAGAGAACCTCCTGAGAAATGTATTCTGTAAAAAATTACTTTTGTGTAACTTTGTGTACATATTGGAACAATGAGAGGCTTACCGGCCACTACATCACAGTGACGTTACTGATTCGGCCAATGAATATTCCCTCACATGTGTATAGTGATTTCAACTTTCATAAAGTCATAACTCTCTGATCATATCGTCGCTGTTTTCACGAAGTGAGGGTAGTGAAAAAAAATTGCATTCACTTTGCGCAACGATTTTCCTCACTACCGTCACTTCGTGAAAACAAGGACGATATGTCTGATTTCATTCAAACTTTCACCAATCTGCTTCTCTCAATTTTGCTTCTATATTTTCAGAGCAATTTGATATCAATATATCAGATTTTCCTTTACTGTATGCAAATAATCAGATATACCGGTACTAACATTTTACATGTGTTTAGTGACATACAGTAAGGGGGGGGGATACCCTGGTCAGACCCTGGTCAGACCCTGGAGTTTCCCCATCCATGTTTTTTTATAGGAATACTTACTTGGAAGGCTTAGCCTGGCTGGATCCTGGTTTATCCTTGCTGTTCTGTGACTGTTGTAAATAAATGAAACCAAGAGATTACATGTACATTCAAATGAATGTGATAGTGTCAAGACATAGGGGATCCAAAATATGCATGACATGATGGTCTTCAATTATAATAATTATAATATGTAACACTTATATAGCGTAATTCCTGTCCTTAGACATATCAGTGCACTTTACACAAATCAAATAATTATTAACTTAGCTTTAGCTCCGGCAGCCGTTATCAGCGCACAGTGCATTTCAAGGAATAATCCTACCAGGTACCCATTTACCCCACCTGGGTTGAGTGTGGCAAATGTAGATTAATGTCTGAAGGAGTAATATCTCTCTTCAATAATTTAGTCAATCTGCTGACTGAGTCAGTTTGCATAGATGAAGTCAAAGATGAAAAAATTGTCCTCAAAATTAACATCCATTATCCCTTATCCCATCTTCTCAAGACAACAAATACATTAATTATTCGCACTGTAAAATCTAGGACATGCTTGCCAAGTTAGTAAACAGAAGCAAAACTTGGCTTAATGTACTTACCAAATGTTGGGGCATACTGGCTGAAGGGTCATAAGTAGAGTCTAAAAGCTCTTGTTCTTCATAGTCTATTTTCGCATCATCTTCCATATCATCCTCCTCTTCTTCCTCTTCCTTGTCCTTCTCCTCTTCCTCCTCTTCATACCACCCTGTTTCATAATGCTCGAGCTTGCTATCAGATCCAGATTCTTGGTCCTGCCTCGGATCAAACAATGACTCTTCCTTATCAGAATGCACAGAGTTTGATTGCTCCAAGTCTGACAAAACTTCTTCTTTCACGACGACAGCGACCGGATGATCTGTCGCTCTCGACAGCTTTTTGTCAGGATCAAGTTCTTTCCTATCGTCCAATGTCGTTCTACCATCATCATAGATGTAATCCTCTGTATTATCTTTTTCATCAATGCACTTGGCCTGACTGAACTCTTGATTAGGCAACTGCTCAAAGTCTTCCATGGATTCAACAGGTTCCATCTTCACCACTTGAGTTGATCCAGGAATATCTTTGCCAGTCAGAAGGCCCTGGCCTGGTACCTGTACAACATATCTTGCTGGGGGCTGAGAAGATCCTGTAAGGTTTCCCTGCAGAGGCTGTGCTGCCTGCAAGTTTGAACCAAGCTGCATTAGATTATTCAGAGCCTGTGGAGTCATACGAGAGTCTCGTTTCAGAACTCCTGCTGTAGACTTTTTAATCATGATGACTTTTATGTTAGGAGTCTTAGGACCACTGAAAAGTGGATTACTAACGCGATCCATAAGTTTAATCTTCTGTGGGCCTCTAGGTTGTATCCTTGCTAAAGGTGGCATGGGTTTATTGGCAAGTGGAGAGCTACCACAATGGTTACAGCTGTATACATAAGGCATGGTTTGGGTTGCTTGATCTACACATACTCTCTTCTTCATGTGCAGGAATCTGGAAGAGAGAACAAAAAAAAAAACATTTTCAGTTTAAGATAGAGCAGAGATCTGATAGAGTGATTGCATTGTGAAAGAAACTTTCAGGAAGCAATTATAAGCAAAGGTTGATTGTGTACTGTAGCGGATGAGAATTGATGTTACTGTGATATTTTAAAATCATTCACGACTCAATCTTGCCGAAAACCACATGCACATAAAAATTGGTATGGGACGACAAATACATGTGGCATAGAACTTAGAAGTTTGACCCACACTTTTCCTCTCTTGTTATATTTCAATTACGGTATGAGGGCACCTGAAGGGCAATCCTTTTCAGAAGCTACATGTATATTATGTATTTCTATGACATTCATCCAAACCAACAGAGTATGGAGTCATGAATTTGGTTCAAATTAACATATTGGAAGTATATGGGATCCTACAATATTCAGTGATCGTTGCCGCGTTTGAAATGGAGTCTAAAGTGATCAAATTGTAATAATAAACTCTTTACGTTGTACAGCTCCCTCTCAACTTCTTAAGGTCAAGATATTTAACTATAAAACAATGTTTCTTGACTAGTCTATAAGTATAATTGACCGATTGGCTATTCCCGTTTGGTTACTATTAGGCCTATAATTATATCACAACTAGTCTACATAGGCCTAGAGCCCTAGACCCTATTCTGATATTGTAATGGTCGCAGCTACCAGCCGTAGGCGCTACCGTACTTGAAATTTATCAAAATTCTTTTTTCTTCTTGAAAGCAGAAGTGTTTTAGAGGCTAAAATGTGCTTCTAGTGTTATAACATCCACATGGGCATCTCTCTCGTAAGCACACACACACTCATCAGTCTGCAAGAATCTTCAACTGTGAAGGAGGTAGACTTAACCCAAAGAAGAAGAAGAAGAAGAACTAGTCTATATCAAAATTGTAAAGAATCACTGACTTTCCAGCCAATTTTTTTCCTTCTTAATTTCAATATCAATTTTTGTTTAAATGTTTAATTTTCGTTTTTCGACTTTAGTTTAATTTTGGATGCCAAAATAAATTGTAGATGGCACTACCCTGCCTCCTTTTCGAGGTAGACGGACTAGTCTAGACTCTAACAACAGTTAAGTTAGATCTAGTACAATTTAGTATCTAGACCCCTCTTAGACCGAATTTTCCGTCTCTTTCGTTCGTTAGCCTCTTATTGGGGTAGGGTCGGCTCTCTCTTTAGAGACGGAAACCGTCTATACACATTCCCTTGATAACGCCACGGCCATTTCAGGTCGTAGCGTTTTGCCCCCAAAATCCCCCAAAATGTCATTTTACCTCGTGCATATCCACATGTAAATAAGGCCTAGGCTATAATACATCGGTTCCACTTACCAACTTGACAATCTTTTTCAACATGGATTTCGATTTTGACCCATAAATTCCTAAAAAGGGACTATTAAACTGATTATTTCAGTCAAGTTGGTAAGTGGAACTGATTATAGCCTAGGCCTAATTTACAATAGATCTATAACATGCACGAGGTAAAATGACATTTTGGGGGAATTTGGGGGCAAAACGCTACGACCTGAAATGGCCGTGGCGTTATCAAGGGAATGTGTATAGACGGTTTCCGTCTCTAAAGAGAGAGCCGGCCGACCCTACCCCAATAAGAGGCTAACGAACGAAAGAGACGGAAAATTCGGTCTAGACCCCTCTAGAATCTAGGCCTGTACTGGCTAAAACTGTGGGCTTCAATGCAGTTGCTTCACTTGCCCATATTATTAGGGTCTAGTTTCTACCAGAATATCTCAAGACAGTGTATCATCGCCAAGCCCTTTGGCCTAAGGTCTACCTTGGAGTTGGACTTGGATCAGCGGCCTGCGTAGCCGTCGCCACCTTGCTGATCCAGGTAACGGAGGTGCACCCGGGTCGGGGGCAGGCTCGGCAGTGTCGGTGCACCTCAAGTAGATGGGCAGCAAATTCATCATTCGATGTAGCGCGAAAAGACGTTGGATTCGCATTATTTGGACGTCTCAATCTCTCCTCAATACGTTCTAGCTCCTCATCATACAAGGTTTTCGCCTCCTCCCAGTCTTTCCGACTTGAACTCAATCGGACCTGAGTTGATCTAATGCTAGACATTATCGCAAAATACTAATTCCTAGGCATGTACTTTTGTACAGCTCTGTCGTCTAGTACTACTACTAGGCCTATCGAAAAATGAATAATGATAACAGAAAATCAGACGCGCGCGCGTACGTATCAGCTGGCTGAGCTGCATGCATGCGATATGCTGGCTAGGCGTGCAATTATTAAGCCAGAGTTTGACGTAAGTACGGACCGCGCGCGCGCCGACTCCGAAAGACAAGACATGAACGGTTTCCAACTCGCCCCGCAAAAAAATGGCCAAGACAAGTTTTCGCCAGTTCACTTGTTTGTTGTGCAAAATCATTTTGAGGAATATACATTTAGGGATCAGCTGTCCGGCCGGACCACTGAACTCTACAGTGATCCAGAGTCCCGGACACACAACGTGTTGGCTGATAATACCAATCAGTTATTGATTGATTGATTTTTATTCGACAAGCTTCCAACATACAACAATATACAATAATAACAGATCAGAAATAAGTCAGCTTGAGCAGGATAACCCACGAAAGCTCGAGAGCTTATTTCCAGTGGGGTCCCTTACAGACATGTATAAAATTAATAACTTAAAGTAGTAATAATTATTTACAGACAGATAAGAAAAATAAAAGAATTACTTATTAAAGATAATAATAATAATAACAACATTAAACGGATGATAGAAATGATAATAAGTACAAGAAGAAAAGGAAGAAGAAAAGGAAGAAGGAGAAGAAGAAAAAGAGGCGGAGGAAGAAGAGGAAAATAATGATGAATTTGTAGAATTTCTATAACGTTCGAAAACATAACTATATACAAAATGAAAAAGTATGAACCGGCAGAAGAATACAAATTTCAATCATATAACATGTCATTTACTTCTCTTATCTGACACTGTCAAGTATTAGGTATTCCTTTAATTTCCTCTTAAAATGAGCATAGTTTTCTATTTCCATTACACCATTGGGAAGGGAATTCCAATGTTTTATGGCATTGTAATAAAACGAATTTCCAATACTATCTACTCTTTCTGGTAAGTTAAAGTTGAATCGGCTATTTCTTGTAATATAATCAAGTAAGTCAGTAACAAGATTGAAGTTCGATCGAATATAATGATTCGACCTAGTATGATATATTTTATGCACGTGATGCAATACCAGTTGTTTTGATCTTTGGTCGACTTCAAGAAAACCAGCTTTAAAAAGTTCGCTGTAGCCAACATGCGTTCTTGGACCAGAACAGTTGATAAATCTCACCATTTTGTTATGTATAATCTTCAACTTCTTTTGATCTGACTTGTTTATGTTACTATACCATGCAGGGTTAGCATAGTCAAAGAAACATTGAATAAGAGCAAAACAGAGTGTACGTCTTGCTTTTAAATAAATCCATACAACTTTGATACCTGTACAAAAATTTCAGACGAGAATTTGCTTTTTTTACAACTGATTCTACGAAAGATGAAAATGAAATTGCGCTAGCTAACTCAATAGGCATTAGTTTGGAACGAATATCATGAATGGCCATGCAATACTTGTTTTGATCTTTGATCGACTTCAAGAAAACCAGCTTTAGAAAGTTCGCTGTAGCCAGCATGAGTTCTTGGACCAGAACAGTTGATAAATCTCACCATTTTGCTCTGTATAATCTTCAACTTCTTTTGATCTGACTTGTTTATGTTACTATACCATGCAGGGTTAGCATAGTCAAAGAAACATTGAATAAGAGCAAAACAGAGTGTACGTCTTGCTTTTAAATCCATACAACTTTGATACCTGTACAAAAATTTCAGACGAGAATTTGCTTTTTTTACAACTGATTCTACTAAAGATAAAAATGAAATTGCGCTAGCTAACTCAATAGGCATTAGTTTGGAAGGAATATCATGAATGTCCACTACTTGGTGTCGATTAGATAAGTAGGATCTGAACCAATCTAAACTTGCCTTATTAAAATCCATTAGTTGTAACTTCTTCAATAAGACGCAATAATTAACTGTATCAAAAGATTTTTGCAGATCAAGGAGCACCATACCAACAAAGCGCCCTTGGGAAGTTTCTGTCCTCAAATAATCAGTCAAATGAATTAGACATGTTTCAGTCGAATAATCATGTCGAAAACCAGATTGAAATTCATAAATTATATCATTTTCTTTGAAGTATCTTTCAATTTGAACACAGACCGATTTTTCTAGAATCTTTGATGCTACGCTTAAAACACTAATAGGTCTATAGTTACTAACATCAGTTTTATCTTACTTTTTATAAAGTGGAGTCACTTTGCTATTTTCATATCCTCTGGAAAAGTACTCGTCAAGATAGATAGGTTCATTAAGTAACTTTGAGGCTTAAATAAAACCTTCGTACCATCTTTTAGGAATTTAGCTGGAATCATGTCTAACCCAGTACTTTTTGATACATTCAACTTACGTAACTCTTTGAAAACAAATTGCTCACTGATTGGTAATAACTCGAAGCTGTTTTCACGTACACCTTTTCTTTCGTAAAAATCACGAATACAATCATTGTCTGCGCTGAAAAAGTCTTTGGAAGGGGGGAGTTTGTCTACTAATTTGGCAGCCACATTTGGGAAATGAGAATTGAATTCATCAGCGATGTCCATCTTATCATGACATAATTCCCCATCAATTTTAATGACAGATTCTTGTTCTTTTCGCTTCTTATTTTTTAATCCTAAGCTTTTTAGATTCTGCCAAAGCCTTTTCGAATCTTGTTTATTTTCTTCTATCTTGTTTTGCAAGTAATCGAGTTTAGCCTTTTTCACCTCTCTTTGGACCATATTTCTTAATACTCTGTATCTTTTATAAAGCGTCTCATCTTTTGCTCTTTTCCTCAATTGTTTGTATACTATATTTCTCTCTTGAATTAGGGAAAGAATATCCTTAGTCATCCAAGTTTCGGATCAGTTTTTATTCTAATCCGTTTCAGTAGCGCTATCATATTCAAATTTGAGATAAAAACATATTGAAATATTGACCATGCCTCATTTACATCTGTACAGTCAGTTATTCGTGACCAATCAACAACAGATAGTTGAAGATTGAAAGACTCTTCTGTATATTTTTTCATGGATCTGATATCATTAGTCCTGTGATGACCTATAGCATGCAGTCTAATATTTTTCCGTGTACAGAAAGTAAAAGAATGGTCGCTAATACCTAGATCAATGACACCACTTTGACTTATTTTGTTTTCTTTGGTACAACCAACATGATCCAGTAGTGAAGAACATGTAGTTGTAAGGCGTGTTGCCTCTTTAATGAGTTGACTAAACCCGTGAAGACTCAACAAGTCAATATATTTTTTTAGCCAGTGGCGATTTGTAAAGAAGACAAATATTCATGTCTCCTAAAAGAATGATTTCGTCATCCTTCTTTAAAGGTACTATGTCCCATTTGCAGGCCAAAAAATGAAAAAGTTAAATTCCAACTGCATTTGTAAGATTATTATAATTTAGAACTTCCCTAAAAAAGGTGGGGCTTGAAAATGTCTTCAAGTGGGAAAATAACGACTATTAGTTGTCAAATCGACTTTAGGGCTACAGAGCCCAAAAGTAATAGTCTGGATTTTCAGACAATTGTACCGAATGGTCATACGTTTTATGCTGCGCAAAGATTCAATCAGTTTAATCTTGGCCATCACAAGAAGTGGGTTATTGATGTAGACAAATGCTCATGTACCCTTTACAACTCTTTTCATGTATGTTATTACCAAAGAAGAAAAAAAGCCAGTCAGTCACTCAATAGTGTCTGACAGTGAAGTCTAGCAAGTAAACGGGTTTCCTTGCATAATTTGAATATGAGGACACTGCTAACGTTTAAATTTCACAGATAGGACATACATGACATATTCATAATTCCTGCAAAGTTCTACAGCATTTGAGGTTGGCTGCAAAAGGGACATAGTACCTTTAATGTATCCAGAATATTGGACAATTATTTCTCGATAAACAAATTGTTTTTCGGAGGTCGATACAGAACGCCAACAACAATTGGTTTTGATCTTGGTATTAGCAAATTTATCCACAGGGATTCCGTATCTCCAGTACTTATAGCATCCATAATATTAAATGCAATATCATTTCTGATATAGAAACATACACCACCTCCAGAGCCAGACGATCGATCATGGCGTATGATTTTATATCCGTCTATTTCAATTTCTTCATCATTTATGGAATTGTTTAACCATCTTTCAGTGAAAGCAATAGACAGCCTCTTTCTTTTAAAAAGAATTCTAAGTTCCGATATCTTGTTTAGGATAGACCTCACATTAAGGTGTAAAATGAAGTCCTTTAACTTTAAACTTTTCTTCAAATTCTTGATAAAGAGAAGTGTTTTCATCTCTGAGGTTTGGCTGAATTATTCTTGCTATCGCTTGCTTTTCAGGTGTAACGCACGTTACCTTAAAATAGTTTTCTTTTAGTCTATCCTCACTTTGGCTTTCTTTCTCTAGACAATCGTCAGTAAATAATGAGTCACACAAAGATGGCAGACAACATGTTAATCGATTCCACTTCTCACCAGGGCATTCATAATATAACTATAACTATTATTAGGCCTAATAACTCCTTGATAATACCAATTGTAACATCTGGAATTCGATCCAATCACTAATCCATCCAGGTCAGTTATGCATCAAATCACTCATTATCTGCCTCTCTTTAGAAATCTAGCCATCTGATTAGTCGAAATTGGAGTCATGATTTTAGCCATTACCATAAAGAAAAAGCAATGCCAGGACTGGTTAATAGTTCATGAGTGAGATTCCCTCAAGATTCCAGGTACCCGGGAAAATAGTAAAATTTTGTTGCGATCCCCAGTGGTGTACGTTTTAAAACTTTGTTTGTAACATTCGGTTATCTTTCCAGCGAAGATTAACAGACAGTGTCTCTGATTTCCCATAATGTTTTAACCAATGTTTACTCAAGAAAAGGATAATTAATGTAAGAATTCTTGGTAGATATTTGTGTTAATTGGGTATCCAGACAACTCGCCACAAAGACAACTCGCCCCAAGACAAACCGCCACAATACCCTGGACAACTCGCCACGGTCAAGTTGTCCAGGGTGGGGTGCCTTTTCGGACAGCTCGCCACACTTTTTTCCCTCATGATTTCTAGATCTAAAATCCCTCATCTGAGATGAAATTGTCATTTTATGTATTTATTATTCTTTTAAAAACACAGTCATGACAGGAAACATGGAAATTGTGAGTATTTTGAGAGCTGTTCTAAAGAATAAAGATGATTTTTCTTGCGCTTGCAACAAGACCCGCAACAAGAATCTATTTTGGACAAACCCAATGCATACGACTCTACCTCAGCGAAATTATCGCTCGCCTACAACTACAAGATTACACTTGATAATGTATTCGGTAGTGCTGCCAGGCAGCCGCGGCGGGCCTGTTCATGTCGACTCATATTTGGGATGGGTTTGGCCTTTTATAGCAAAAGTTACATATTAAATACACTGGGGGGGGGGGCTATAAATATTAATTCATCTTTAAAAAGTTTTTTTTTTTTAAGGTGCCAGTTTTATGGAAAATATCCCATTTGATATGAAAAACTCTAATTAAATTCTGTTTTCTCTTTTGTATTGGTGTTCAGGTTTTCTCTGCTTCTCTTTCCCTTTTTTTTTTCTTTTCTCAACAGTACAGTGTATACTTGTTAAGGGATTGACGCTCATAAGGCTGATTGCCCTTTTAGTAAATTGTCCGAAGTGCCATTTTTTTTGTCATTTTACCTAAAGAGAAGTTATAGATTGTCTTTAGTAGTATCATTTAACACTATTCCATTACAGATTGTGGTTGTAAATGACACTATTAAGTCACAATGAGCACAAACATAATACATTGGTATCTCTCGATCGATGAATCATGTCGGGACATCTCGCCCCAGTCTTTGAAGCTGGGGCGAGATGTCCCGTGGGGCGAGTTAGCCCGACTCCGCCTTGCGTACAGCTGTGAGAGTCAGGGGCTCGTTCCTAGAAACCAACGACAAGACAGTCATAACTTTATCCGCCAACTACGGAGATGTCTCTGATCTTCCTAAACCGTTTCACGAAGAGCTTACTAGCTAGTATCTCGTGAGATCGATATTATCGGCGAGAAGAGGAGCCGAGAATTAGCCTTAGTCGCAATACCACCAGATTATTACAAAATTAATATTAGGGAAAATGCAATTATTTAAATGAATTAGTAATAAAAAAGATTGAAAATGATACCAAGAAATAAGAGATCCAATATACTTCCAAATTTGTGTAGATTAAACAATTGAAGTACTTGTAAAATATAATTGTGAGTTTTTCATTACATGACCAGTGAATCAGTTTTGTTGTTGAGATGGGCACCCCCCGAATATTTTCATTTGATAGTTTATAAAAATACACCCTTATATTATTCTTTGAAAAAATACGATGTAATGAAATTTGTGTTCAATGTTTTTGGCGTCAGCACAATATAAAAATTACAAAACTTCAATATTTCAAAGGTTAAAACATATGTTTAAACCATTCACTTTACATAATTGAAAATAGAATTCATCTCGAAATTAATATGGGTCTGAAAACTAAAGAATACACTTCAAACTATGGCTTGCCTGCCGTGGCAAAATACATATCCCTTCGACGAGTTTACAATGTGGAAATAAAGACGTATAATCAGTTTATTTAAGTGGAAAAATCCTTAAATACAAACATGGCATATTTTCATGAGATTATCAAATACAAAAAACGATAATTCACTGTTTAAGTGAATGTGTAGAAAAATCATAGTTGGAGGATTTATTGTCCTTTTTTGCCAGCCATAGTCTACCCAATAAATGACATGTGATGGCGCTGCCCATCGACTAAATAGTTATGACAGAGATACGACGGTGTCAGAGGTGTCATAACTCCTTAGTCAGGATGTTGTCGTTGATCTTGGCAAAGAGGGCTTGGTGAAACACGTAGCGGACAAGTTGTTCACTAACGCTGATTTAGTCAAGAAGTTAGACTTATGACGGTTTGTAGGAACGGGCCCCTGGGTACCTGTATAGTCTAAACTCAGCTCAGGGAAGCTCCAACACGTACCGGCCGCACCGGCGTCGGAGCTTCCCGGAGTTAGGTAGCGACGATGTCCAAATCTTATAGATCTAGACTTCCATTGGATTCTAAGTTAATTTCGTGAGCGGGGTTATCATAGAAAAATGGAACTCAATAGCTAGACTCTAGCTTCTTTTTCTACTTACAATGTTAGCAGATATTTTGCGACATCGTCGTTGCTCTTCATCTGCAGTTCTTCCCGCAACCTTGTCCATAATTCCATAGTTGTCTCTTGCAGTCGAATCCGTCCGGACGATCGTTTTACTTTGCTCCTATACTTGGCACGAGCAGCTTGAGTCGATGCCCTTTTCGATGCTGGCGACAATGCCTGACGAGGCATCTTGGCAAATTCGTTAATCGTTATTATAAATTTATTTGGTGATTTAATTCGGACTGCATACGATCGATGAGGAAGAATTCCAGACAACTCGCCACAAAGACGACCCGCCCCAAGACAACCCGCCACAATACCCTGGACATCTCGCCACAATACCCTGGACAAATCGCCACGGTCGAGTTGTCCAGGATGGGGTGCCTTTTCGGACAACTCGCCACACTTTTTCCCTCCTCGTTTTAGATGAAATTGTCATGTTATGTATTCATTATTCTTTTATAAACACAGTCATTACAAAGAATAAAGAATAAAGCTGATTTCCCTTGCAACAATAATACATTTTTGACAAACCGAATTAGGCGTATACGATCGCAAGATCATTGAGATAACTTCTCGGTATTTAGATCGAGACTCTAGAGGTCTATAACAGCTGCATTTTTCTGTCTCAGAATTTGTTTAATGGTAGGATACTGGAAGCACTGGCGTACTGATGGGGGGGGGGGGTGGGCAGTTTACCCGCGAAATAAAATTGAAATGTGGTTTATTTCTAGATTTTCTGGGTTAGTTTCGTCAGAGGCGGCATTCTTCGTTGGGGGGGGGGGCACTGTGCCCCCACTTTTTCAGGTTCCCCTAAAGTGCCCCCTTATCCTTTGTACATGTCCTTTTCCCTTCTGATAATTTTTTCAATGGTAGGAATTCATGGAAGGATACTGGAAGCACTGGCGTACTGATGGGGGAGGGGGCAGTTGACCCGCGAAATAAAATTGTAGTGTGGTTTATTTCTAGATTTTGTGGGTTAGTTTGGTACTTTTGCCCACAGTCAGAGGCGGCATTCTTGGGCCCTAACGTGGGCCCATGGATGCTCATCGGACCGTTAGTACATACCTAAAACCCTGTGGCTAGTACTGGGCTAAGGAATTACAGTGAGAAAAGCCAAAAAAGTTAGTCCGGGGTTAAGGATAGTACGGGGCTAAGCAAAGTACGGGATTAAGCAAAACGAGTGTGAAAAGAGTATTAGAGTGGTGGCGATGCAGATTTTTCTTCTGCCCCCAAAACGTTTTGCGCATTACGCCACTGCCCCTGGAATATTTCCTTCCCCCTCCCCCTCCCCCACCCCCACCCAACCCAATCCCAAAGTGCTTCCGGCCAAACTGCGATGTCAGGAATGCTCATTAACCTCTTTGGTAATCCTGGCAGTGACAACAAATATATTCCCCACTGAAGTACTACTCTACTACTACTACTACTACTACTAATAATAATAATAATAATAATAATGATGATGATGATTACAATTTTAACGACGACGGTGATGATGATGACGACAACGACGACAACAATAATAAAGAGTACTAATAATAAAAATTCCCCTTCGCATTTCAAGTATGTAATTACTCACACACACACAAATTGGTTAATACACCTTGTAACCAGTCTTATATTTTCTTTCTACTGCTCGTCTCCTTTCATTGCCTGGCACTGATAGAATCCTCTTTGTATTAAACATTAACTCAAATCAAACTCTTATAATACTCATTATGTATGCTTCGTATTTATTAAGCTGATATATCAAATGAAATTTCAATATTTAGCTCCTCTTATTTATAGCTAGGAATATCCATCACTCCTCAGCTTTCACTATGTTGTAAAATTAGTTAATTTTTGTTGATGTTATATAACATTCACTGTATATCGTATGTACTTTTAATGCCCTGCATTTTCCAGTAAAATGGAATTGTCCTGGGCTATTGTTCTCCTTTGTTGTGCAAGTTTGAACAATAAAGTGATGTTTTAAAAAAAAATGCAAGAAGCCAGACATTTTCTTCAGGGACAACAACACAGTAAATATATTCGAGGTCACCGTTCCCCATGACATCAACATCGCCGTCAAAGAAAGAGACAAACGTCTCAAGTATGAAGACCTCAGGATAGAGTTCGAGCAGGGGCGTCGCCAAAGGGGGGTGTGGGGTGCGACACCCCCCCCCCCCCACCTGTCAGGATTTTGTCGGTAAAATTGCGCTGCCGTCGGGAAAAAAGAGAAAAGGGGGAGGGGGAAAAAAGAGGGAAAGGGAAAGAAATGAAAGAAAGGAAAAAAGGAAAGAAAAGAGAAGAAAGAGAGAGAGAGAAAAGAAAAAGGGAGGAGAGGAAAGAAAGAAAAGAAATAAAAGGGAAAAAAAGAGTAAAAGGGAAACAAAAGAATCGGGGTGAAAGAGAGTAGAGAGAGGGGAGATAAGAGCCTGAGAGAGGAGGAGTGGGAGTAAAAGAGAGAAGGGGGTTGTTGGGTGGAGTCGTCTCGTAAAGGAAGCAAGAAAGACACGGTCAAATTATGTTGCTGCGTCGGGTCAGCTGTGTCGGTATTCTTGCTCGATCCTCGTATACTATATCAATGCAGAAGTTTGAAGTCGGAGAGATGTATTATTGTCGGTCGGCTGACAAGTTTTTTTTCCAAACGAACTGTGACTTCTTATCCGCTGTGACGACTTCGAGAGTGACTACACCTACAGTACTTGTATTTTCTCGAAGTTTAAGGAACGTCAAAACTTCCACGCTTCGCGCGGGAGGGGGAAGCTTCATTCAGACAAGGATTAAGAGTCGAGCACGCGGTTCAACGAATCGTCTACTTTCTTTAATAATTTAATGAAACGCCAAAACTTCCGCGTTTCGCGCGGGAGGGGGAGAATTGAATTCAGTATAGGGATTTAGAGTCGAGAACAGTACACCGAATCGTCAACTTTTTTTCATAATTTAATGAAACGTCAAATCTTCCGCGCTTCGCGCGGGAGGGGAAAAAACTGAATTCAGACAAGGATTAAGAGTCGACCACGATTCAACGAATCGTCTACTTTCTCTAATAATTTAATGAAACGCCAAAACTTCCGCGCGAATAATAACATTAAGAGTGGATCAGTTTAGGATTAAATATTTCCAACAGAGGTTGCAAATGGAACAGACTTCATTATGAAACAAATTTGGTTCTTACGGCCCCATTCTCTGGGTTCCCACTTCTCAACCTTCTCTTTAAGCAACGTAACTCGCAATTTGGTGTGATGGACTGAATATCGATTTTCGAGCAAGCGAGCAAAAATTATAAGGTCCCATTTGAAAAATTACATGATGAATATTAAGCACATGCAATCTAATGAAAAAAGATTGAAAAGTTCTTTTATGTAATTATGAGTAACATTATAATTAAAACATCTATAAACGCGCAAGCAAGCACTATAATTATAAGGGCTCTAAGATGCCTTGAATTATAGAGGTGCATCATGAAGAAAGAAAAGTAGGCACTTATCAGAAGGGAAAAGGACATGTACAAATGATAACGGGGCACTTTAGGGGAACCTGAAAAAGTGGAGGCACAGTGCCCCCCCCCCAACCAAGATTGCCGCCTCTGACTGTGGGCAAAAGTGCGTAACTTACCCAGAAAATCTAGAAATAAACCACATTTCAATTTTATTTCGCAGGTCAACTGCCCCCCCCCCAGTACGCCAGTGCTTCCAGTATCCTTCCATGAAAATATATAAATACCTACCATTATAAATTATCAGAAGGGAAAAGGACATGTACAAAGGATAAGGGGGTACTTTAGGGGAACCTGAAAAAGTGGGGGCACAGTTCCCCCCCCCCCCCAACCAAGAATGCCGCCTCTGACTGTGGGCAAAAGTGCGAAGCTAATCCAGAAAATCTAGAAATAAACCACATTTCAATTTCAATTTTATTTCGCGGGTCAACTGCCCCCCCCCCCCATCAGTAGGCTACGCCAGTGCCTCCAGTATCCTACCATTACAAAGTTTCTGAGACAGAAAAAATGCAGCTGTTATAGATCTCTAAATACCGAGAAGTTATCGCAATATCTGACGATCGCCGTACGCGCCTTCGGTTTGTCAAAAATATTGCAAGGGAAATCAGCTTAATTCTTTATTCTTTGTAATAAATGTGTTTATAAAAGCACGAAAATCATGAAAAATGACAATTTCATCTAAGATGAGGGATTTTAGATCTAGATTTTCAAAATAGAAACAGGGGGCGTGGATTTTTCTATTTTACGTCGCCTTATTTAAAATATTAAAAGATGTTAATGTCCTTTCCGGGGCTTCGTACATAATGTCAAGTGTATTGGTCTTCATTTTTTTCCAAATTGAAATAGGGGCTGAAAAGGGCATTTAATGTACAGGTTTATTCTGGTAAAAGTAAAATTTAACCAAATGCATATTAAAGGCCCACTGTCGTACTCAGGGGGGGGGGGGTTACCCCCCCCCCCCCCCCTCCCCTGCGTATGCGCCTGACACCAATATAATACGGCTCTTACTCAGATGGCATGTTCCGATAACTACACTGGCGGGAACGTGCCCCTTTAATTATCGTTTTTTAGGTATGAAAAACGGATTTTTTTTTTTTTTTTTTTTTTTTTTTTTTTTTTCCTTTTTTTTTTTCCTTCTTTTTTTTCCGTACAAGTACACATACCTGACGTATTCGCGCAACTCCGGTCAAAAACGAGTGTTATTGGCACATAACTTAGATAGGCTATGACGCAGAATTTACCGGGCGTGTTTCACTTTGCCCCGGGTTTCCCACATGTCACATGCCGGAACGGAAAGTCTTATCAGTTGTCTGCATGGGCTGCATGTGTCTTACTGTTTCAGATTGATTGAAATTATAGGGCTCCCGCCAGCATAATTATATGGATTTATTCGGGCATTACGAGTAAAATTAGTTAAAATGCGATTTCAATAATGAAGCCTAAAGCTATCAGTAATGACCTGCATCATTTTAAAGGTGGCATCTTGTTTTTTTTTACTCTCATATAAACCTATGTCACAAACGTTCATGTCTGGGTCTCATTGTTGTAGCTGAAGAAAATTTAAATAAACCCGTTAATTCATGTGAAAGTATATACTACAGAGTGTTTTACCATTTTTTTCTCGATCTCTCCCCTGTTCTCTTTCTTCTTCTTCCACCACCACCACCCCACCCCCCTCTCTCTCTCTCTCTCTCTCTCTCTCTCTCTCTATCTCTCTCTCTACCTTTCACTTTCTTTCCCAGAATCTCTCTCTCTCTCTCTCTCTCTCTATAATTTATATATTTATATATAAAAACCACATCCCCCCTCTCTCTCTCTCTCTCCCTTTTATTTCTCTTTCTTTCCCTTTCTTTCCCTCTCTCTCTCTCTCTCTC